TCAAAGCAATGTGTGTTACAACTACCATAAAAACAGAGGAGCTAAAATGGGATTAAAGATCATAACTTTTCTATAAATAAGCAAACCCCATTTAAGAAAATTTACTAAAAGACATTTTTAAAGATTAAAAAAAGGCAAAACAAGATAGTAAATGAGAGTGACGATTACTTTAACCTCTCCCATTTTCTTGATGTTGAAAATCAGCATCTGAAATTGCAGAAAAATCTGGTTGGCTAAAATCTTCATCTTCCATTGGTGCTGGCATGTTAAGATCTATAAATCCATTTAGTAATTTAGCTGAATTTGAGTACTCAACTAAAAAACTATCACCAAGTTTTAATGAGGAAGAACCTGTAGTTGATGAACTCATAATAAGATGTGATCTTTTGTGTCCACCTAATGCTTGACCTGATTGAAATAATTTCCCACAAAATGGACATTCATGCAATTTTTGATCCATAATATTCTTCACACTAACTAATTTCTTGGTTGGTTTTTGCTCTGACTCTTCAATACAAGTTGAAGAATTGCTGTTCTTGATCTTGTGAATGGTTTTATGACTACCTAAAGCTTGAGAAGTTTTGAACATTCTGTGACAAATCCCACATTGGTATTTCTTCCCATGTTTTGACCTTAATTTTGAGGGTTGTGAACTTTTCCAAACATCTTTTGAAAGCATCATTAAACACATAGCAATGTCTTCTTCACTTGAACTATCTGAAAACAAACTCAATGGCTCAAAATCAACTGATTTCTCCTTCATTTTTTCTTCATTTTTCTCATCTGCTGGTATTGTTAAAACCATTTTTCGACTTCTATTGGATCTTCTACAAGTTGGTTTTTTTGTTGACTCAGTCTCACTTTCTCTATCTTGTACCACATACCCACCATCCAAAAACTCAGGATCTATCATTCTAAAGCTTCTCTTTGGATTTTCTCTCAACCCATAATTACCCAATGAATCATCACCTTTCTGTTCTAACACCTCCTCCTCTTCTTCTTCTTGTTCATTTTCTGATGAACAGAGTGACAGAGTTGAGTGGCTACGGCCGCCGCCGGAATCTTGTTTTAACGGCGGAGTCTTAGGTGGAAGTGGCAAAGCCATTAAATGAGACCTCATGTGACCACCTAAAGCTTTGCCATTCAAGAATTTCCTTGAACATAACTTGCATTTATGCTTCTCCATACTTACAAGAAGAAGAGATCAAAGATTAGCACTTTACTATGTAATCACCAATGAGAGAGGGAAAGGGAGAAAGTTGAGGGATAGGAAGAGAAGTAGAGTGGGAGTGGGAACTTTAAGGATTTAAGAGGAGTAGGTAACAAGCATTCCTCAACCAAATAGTGAGGCACAAACTCTGACTCCAAAATTACTCTTATAGAATTTTCATTTCTTTTTTGGGATTTATATTTACTCTATTATTTACCGTTTATACGAACCTTTTGGCTTTTTGAGATTCAAATTATGTAAACTTTTAACCAATACTTTGAAATAAATTTTTTATCATATTGACATAAAAAGAGTTGCTGATATTGTTTTTTTGCTAATGTTATTTTCTCTGGCTTGTACTGTTATTATGGATCTATTATCTCGTTTCGTCTTCTTGAGTCGACGGTTTTTCGGAAATAACCTCTCAACTCTTTCGAAATGGGATAGGGATAAGATTTGCCTACACTCTATCCTCCCCAGTTCTACTTTTCTTGTAGTTTTTGAATATCAAAATTTTAACTTTAATATATTAAGTTAATATAATTCAACTTAGCTTAAAAAATTAGTCAATTTGACCTTCAAAAAGCAAAAAGGTCCCACATGAGCTAGAATTGAAAGAATATTTATTAACTCCAAAGGTTGTGGTGGATAGCAAATATCCTTCCAAGGTCTCCTCTCGAGCCATAAGAAAGAAATCACATTTAATTGAGGACGCTTTTATTCTGGAACTTTTTAGTGTGAATTTGAATTTTTCGGACATGCAAAAGATATCGAGCAGGAGAAAAAAAAGAATTTGCTTATTTAGTTTTAGATACTTTTTATTTAGTAAAGGTAAATGAAAAGGAATTGTAACAATTTTGTGATTTGAATATTTCACGGGACGACAAAATGGAGTAAATTAATAAAAATTAACAAAGTATGATCATAAGTGGATAAAGAGGAACAACTAACATGCACATGCTGCCTTCTCAGAAGAAACCTTTCCTCTTTTTCTTTGTTTTTCTTCCATTTATTATTTTTTCACTTTATGTTTTTCTAGATTGTGTGTATTGTTTAATACTCCTTGTTAGTCTTCTATTTTTGTTTGGTAATTTGGTTATACATTGTCGTACCACTATTATTAATTACTCATGTATTATTAGTTTGTTAGTAACTCAAATGATTAAATGGCTTTATTTAACATTTTTTCCAAAGATTTCTTTGCATAATTTGCATGGGTCTTCTCACAATTGGCTTTTTCCACTTCCAGAAAAAGACACATCATTACCTATTTTTCACCCTTTTTTCAGCTCTATCTTTTGTCAAATCAATTCAATAAACTTTTTTTTTCCAAATTCATATTTGTTTGATTGCGTATGTGTACAGATGTATCACACATATATAGTTCATAGTACGGGTGTCTAACGGGGCTGACCGGACCGGCCCAGACCGGTTAAAATCGGAACCGGTCCGGACCAGTAGAAGGGGGCTGGATTGAGCTGGGTTAAGGGTGTAGGGGGTTTGGTCCGTTCATATTTTGACCACCGATTAACCGGATCAGTCAAACCCGGTCAACGAACAACACTGTTCATTCGGTTAATCGGCCCGGACCGGCCCTGACCGGTTTAAAGGTAACAAATTTTTTTTAAAATGTGGACTTAGATTCTAACGGTTGGCAACGGTCCATTTCACATTATGGTCGTTGCCCAACGGCTTAAATGCATTTTTAGCCCATTTTTGGTTTTTGAAAAAAAAAAAATTAACCCCCCCTTTGAAAAACTATAAATACCCCCCACCCCAGCCCCTTCTTCCTCATTTTTTCACTCATCTCTCAATTCTCAATCTCAATTCTCAAATCTCAATTCAAGTTAAATCATGTCTCGTACTTCTAGAGTGCGCTCATATGTTTGGGAACACTTTGAGGTGGTAGAAAAAAAAGAAGAAGTTCAGAAAGTAAAGTGCAAGAACTGTGGTCAAGTCTTAAATCTTTGTTCAAAGTCTCGCACTGGCAATTTAAGGAAGCATATAAAGTATTGTCTTGAGCGTCCTCCGGAAATTCGTATTTAAGTTGATTTGAGACAATTTGTGTTATTTTAAAATTATTAGACGTATTTATGCTTAATGTTTTAGTTTGTTAGATTAATTTGAAGTATTATTAATTTATTATGCATGAAAATTTAGTTTTACTATTTTTTTTGTTAATTAACTTGTTAAATGCAAACTTCAATTTTGTAATTTTGAAATAAATATAGCACTTGCAATTTATAAGTGCAATTTTTTTCCCAACTTCATTGTATTCTTTATATTTTTACTTTATATTAATAAAACTTAAAATAGTTATACAAAAATACAAAATACAAAAAAAAATAACAATAATCCAGGCCGTCCCGGCCCCATGAACCCGTAATCCTTACGGTTCAATTTTTACCCGAATTAATCCGAACCCATTAAACCCGATATGCCCCTACCTGTAACCAGCCCGGATCATAACCCGTACGGGTACTACATTCCCCTACCCAGCCCACCCGTTAAACACCCATAGTTCACAGTGAAGACAAATGAACCCAAGGAAAAATTGAATGATCAAAAGATTACAATATGAACCATAATATAATACATTATAATAAGTAACTCAAATTTTAGGCAAACCAGTCATTACAAGATTCCGGTGAGTTTGGACATAATTTTTTTTTTACTTTTTTCAGAAAAGTTTTACTTTTTCTTTTTTGTGAAATTACTGTTTCGCTTTAAAAATTCAAATTTCACTTGAAATTAAATTTCGGAATTTTTCGGAATTTGAGAAACTCTAAAAAGTTATTTTTAAAAATTTACACTTCAATTCACTCACAGAAATTCAAAAACAGCTCCAAACTATATTGATATCCAAACACACCTCTAATTTTTAAATATCATTTTCAATTAATTTTTTTCACTTTTTTCTGGAATTTTATAATTTTTATGTCCAAACGCCCAGTTAGCTTTTTACAATGAACATTTTATCTTACAAATCCACAATCACAACACCATTTTCCAGAACTTTGTTTGATTCTATAGAAATAAATATATGGATGGGGTTTGTTGTAACTAAAATCAGAGGCCACTGATAATCTCTTTTGCTGCTGGGGGCAAAATGCTTACGTGTCTCTCTTCTTCCAGTTTTTCCCTTGCTTTGTGTAGAAAAAAAAAACAAAAATGAAATTAAATGAAAATAGATTTCTGTAATCCCTTCCTGAATAATGAACTTACAACTTAACAAGTTTTTTTCTTGAAAATAAAATATCCAAAAACAAAAATAGATGCAAAAGTATAATATAGAGCAAAAACACATATCAAGTAATATTACTGTGATCCCAAATATTATGGCAAAGTGAATTGTTTATTTCAAATACGTGATGTCTTAAAACAATATGAAGTCAAATTTATCCTTGTTGTTCTAATTAGTGGAATATTAAATAAGCGAGATATTTGAAAACAAATAAAAAATAGTTTAAATAAAGACTTTTATAATTAAGATAATTTTATATATATTTTAAGAAGCGTACATAAAATTTAAAAAATAGATAATATGGACGGAAAGAGTATTTAAGGACTCACTTGGTACTGTAAGATGTCGTTTGGTTGGAAAATAAATTATCCAAGATTAATTATTTCATTTTTTCGTATGGATAAAAATAATATTATAATCATGTGATTAGTTATACCGCAATTTTATCCTAACCAAACTTGGAATAAATTCATCTCAAATTTAGTTCCGAAATTAATTATTTTCTATCCCTAGCTAGTACCAAATGATGGTGAGGCTTCAGCTTACCGAGGACATGACTCTAGACAGGAAGTTGTGGAGATCGAGCATTAAGGTTGTAGGTTAGGAGGTAGTTGAGAATATCTCTACGGCGCCGCAAAGTAAGGCTAGTCTGTTAGGACTTGGTCTTTGACTGTTAGTAGTTAATGTTGAGTTCATACTACTCTTTCGTTCCTCTTAGTGATGTGCTTTATCTACTGGTTATTGTTTTGCTTTTCACTTAGTTTCTGGTTGTAGTGATGCTGTTTTTTGTTATATGGTTTCTATTGATGCTACCGATGGATTGTCTCTTTTCGCCTTCTTTTTGTCTTCTTGAGCCGAGGGTCTTTCGGAAACAACCTATCTACCCCTTCGAGATAGGGATAAAGTCTGCGTACACACTACCCTTCCCAAACTCCACTAATAAAATTTCACTGGGTCATTGTTGTTGTTACCAAACGAGCCCTAAGATTTAAGAGGAAAGAAAGAAAAGTAACATAGAAGTCTGCGGGTTTCCCATAGTATCATGTGTACGGTAATTAGCTGGAGATTTTGAGCATCTAGTTTATAATTCGTGATATAAATAAATGCGCTTTATCCGTTAGTTTTATTTACTGTCCATTTGATAATCAAAAAAGTTTATTTACATGTATGACATGGTTGATTTTGCTTTGTCCCAACAATGCTTCTCAACAAAAGGTGAAAATCAGAGGGCCGATTCACAATTACCAGAAGATCTTTTTACTCTTCCAGTTTTGTAGGGGAGGTCCATAGACCATAGTAGGGTTAATAGAATGTAAGACACCACTTCTACTTGTGAGTGATATAATAAGTATTGGAATAAAAAATTAATAGTAAGAAAATTTGGACTTTATTCTTATTGGTAAAAGCATATTAAAATTTAAGGTAGCTAAGTTATACTAATTAAGGGTTCTCAACTCGGAAGTAAATCTATAATTTGAGTTGGGGATTATACCCACATTCCATTTATTTTATTGAGTTTGAAATCTATTATTTATACCGAATTCGAATATACACTGCATCAACCCTAGGGTGACCGGTGCTTTTCACACATTGTCTTCCTTGAGTTTAACTTCGTTATAGTGTAAAAATTTGTACATAGTCTAGTCACTTATAATATAATTATAAATAAATAGTTATTATAAATATTATTAAGGCAGAATATGAGATACTTGTACTTGTTTGGTTTTGACATCCCGGTCTTTTTATTTCACAAAATTTCATCCAAATACTTATAATTGCTCATAAGCGATGTTTTAAACTCTTTTGACCTCATGCGTTCTTCAAACTCGTGGCATAGAAGACACATCAATGCCCACATAAGATTTTCTAT